ATGTTATACCTCAACATTACAACTTATCACACATGTTTAAGACTTATATTTATGAATTGTGATAAAAAAATAAAATTTAAAAACACAGTGGGTAAATCTCAATCTAATAATATTATGATTAGTGATATTATACAAGATTTTCATAATTTATGAATTTATTTACTTATATTTAAAAATGTGTCTTTACCTATCTTCTGAGAAGGGCTTTATTTTTTTTAGAATTAGGAGAAAATAACTACAATAATCAAAGCTGGTAAGTTAATAATTTTTTTCAATATATAATTTTATAGTTTTATATAAGTGTATAAAACTTATGAAGTTAAAATATACTATATTTTCTGGAATTTCCCAAATGTCTATCTTAGTTAATAGTTACGTGTTTTTTAAATTCAAAATAGGTATTAATTTAAAAAACCCATCCGTTTAAATGAGTAGCCACGAAGTATAATCTACTTGGCTATTTATTAAATTTAATTAATTATCATAATATAACGAAAATAATTAGCAGCAATATTGATTAATTTAATTGAATTAACTGCAGTAGCAATAAATTTGACAGTATTTTATAATTTATAGCCACCACAGTGGATCTACTAAGACAAAGTAATTATTAAACTTACCATCATCGTATTTATCACAACAAATTTGATATTAGAAATATTAATAACTATTTCCACAAAATATTATGAACTATAAAAATTTTTAGATCAATAGTTAATTATTATCTAGTATTTCAATCAGCACTGGCAGTCATAAATGTTATGGAACATTTTGATTTTTACAGTAGATATAAAAATAACTAACTAATTTTTCTTTGACTATAACTAATAGAAAAAGATGTATTCAGTGTCCTCTAAAGTTTAATTATCATAATGTTTCAAAATAATTTATTTTATTTTTTCATGTTTTTTTTTTTTTTAATACATTAGATAACAATTTCATTTTGAAATGTATAGTAATTAATAATGGAGAAAAATCCATTATACTTTGACGGCAAACATATAAATACAAAATAAACATAATATTCGATTGTTATTTGTTTTTTTAAATTATGTAAAAAATATTTCATATTATCTTGTATATTTTTTACAAAAATAACCCTAAATTTGGTTTTTATTATTATTATTTCCAGAGTCTTATAAATTACACTTTTGTACATTGCATTGATTTGATGTTTAATGTTTTATAATAATATGAATATAATTTTACTAAATGCATGTACATTTTTATTCATTGTTTTCATTAGCGTGAGAATAGTGTTACCTATCTTAACTCTTAAGTAATTTAACAGTTACTTAAGTTAAATTGTACTATATATAAATATATAGTTACTTTAGTAATATTAAACACCAGTTAATAACGCTATTTCACTATTAAATAATAATGAACACATAATACATAATATTACACAACTCGTAATAATACTAAAATATTGTAATTTACGAGAAAAGAGCAGTAATATAACTTGTAAATAGTAAAGGGTTAAAATAAAAAAAAAATGTATTTATTTATTATGCTGGTGTAATTTAATTATATGTCCAATCAAAAATACACTTTTTTTTATGATAACAAACTTTTTATATTTTGATTTAGTCAATGGTTTTTATTTTCATATTTCTGAAATTCAGAACAAATTATGTTCCAAATAATTATTGAACTCGTACAAAATTAAGGAAATGAAGGATATTCTCAAATCAAAAATCTGCAATTGATTATATTTATTATACTACTAAATGCCTGGCTATCATAATTTTTGAAACTAATGTCAAGAAATTACTTATGAGATTTACTGATAGTGATTTAACTATAGTAAGCACTTTGATATTAAAACTTATTGAGTAAAAATAACAATAATTGTAAAATAGTGGTATAATATTGTGCACAGTGCACATAAAATCAAAATACTTAAAGAATAAAAATAGATATTTACCTTTTCTTATTTTTATTGATATTATGCATAAAAATGTGATCAATTAAGTACAAGACAATCGCAGCAAATGGATATTCTATACGTACAAGTTGTTGGCAGTAATATTTTGTTTTTAAATTTAACATTTAATATGTTTTTACAAACTATGTTATTAAACTTAAATTTAAATAGCTAAAAGATTTTAAAATAATAGAGCTGAGCGTTTATGAACCATATTTTAAGGTTTTTTGTTATACTATTATATACAAAACAAAGTTTACTGGTGTCACTTAAATATTGTTGTTTAAATTAATAAACAACTTTTTGATAAGCTGTTATTTTAGCTTGTGTGATTACTAGTTAAATCAAATACATTCAATTAGTCTTATCAATCAATCACTTTGTTAAGTTTCTTAGATGTTTGAATTGTCGATATGTTATATAATTGAAATGGAATGTCTTGTATAGTATTTACAAATTATTATATCTGTTATAAAATGCACTAAAATAATCAATTATTATAGAATGCATTAAAATAATAACAATAATATTTCACTTAAAATTATTTTTTTTAGTTAATTATTAAATAGTAGGTATATACAATATTTATTATTTTGTAAGTATATATAATCAAAATATTTTGAGTAGTCATGTATTATTATAAAATATTGCGTTGCTGTTTTTAATAATAGATTTTAGCACTTAAAAATAATAATTGAAAATACATTTTAATGATATCTTACAGTGTGTTATTTTGAGGCTCATCTTTCTATACTTACATTATACTATATAACTACACAACTTTTAGGCAATCATTATAAGACTATTATTACTAAGCACAGGTTTTAATTAAATAGAAATAATAAAAGTGGAATGATTATGTGTTAATTCTGCTCACAAGCAAAAAGCTTAATCGTTTAGTTATTTTTAAAATGTATGATGATAAAAAAAAAATCTGGAACTGTTATTGCTATTAAATATTTAAGGTTATAAATATGTATGTGTGTATGTGTGCATTTTGAAATATTTTTAAATTATGATATTGGATTACAATTAATAATTAATTATTAAATTTTTATTGTGATTATTTTTTAAAAAAACAGCTTTTTATAAACAAAATGTTTTGTATACATTATTTTCATAGAACTGATGAAAAATAGAAAAAAATTAATGTGTTATTATCGTTGAATGTTATTAGAATTAATAAAATTATATTGATAAAAACAAAAATCAAGTGATATTTTGAAAATGTTTGCGTGTTATTCATTACCCTAATTTTTATCATTTGTTATATTATATAATAGTCAAATAATATCAAATAAATAGTAAGTAAAAATTGTTAATATGACAATATCTCATATATTTAACACTTTTTACATGTATTAAATTTTAAAATGGTAGCTTCTGAATTGATTAAATATATTTTAATAACTTAGATGAATTTTGAATACTGCTAGTACGTACAAAAGTTTAAGAGTAATACCAGTGATACCACATATCTTCAGTAAGAATAAACTATGTAAAGGAAATCCTATCCTTTAACATTTAAGGAAGGCTATGTTTTAAAAAAATTGTATTTTTATGTTTAAAATATTTTTAATAGATTTTGGCTGAGTGGGTAAAGAAAATATTAGACTAGTCTCAGTTTAATGTTATGATTAACAAGCTACTAAAAATGTACTTATTGTACACAAGTCACATGACATTTATAATTTAATATAAATAAATAAATCATTGCATTATTTATGTGTGTAAATACCCAATATTTAAGTCTAAATAAATAAAGGGAAGAAAATATTAATTACAAATAAAATTAATCATAAAATGTTAAAACAAAAAAAATGATTAAATTAAAAATTAGAAAGTTGTATGTGATACAAAGAAATATCAACAAGTTTTTATTTGACAAATACATACTGATAGGTTACATAAAAATGATTAACATAATATAACATAATATTTGTGTTATCAATTTAATTTACAAGTTATATTTAACATTGTATTAAATCAACAAAAATAATTGAACTATTCTAAATTATATATCAGGTGAATTTAAAATATTGATTTTTTTTTAATTCCTAGTTTTGTATAATTAAATATACATATTTGTTATAATATATATATATATTTAAATAGTTTTACATAATACTAAAAAAAAATAAATATATTAACTAATTAATTGTGGTTGTTATGTATGAATATTAAAATACTGAAAATACTTTTTTATACGAAGACTGTATGTATGAAATATATTAATTTGATTACATTTTAAATGATTTACAATTAAAGCTTAATTATGGGTATTCAGAAATTAATTTTGCTTAATATACGAAATCAAGAATAATGAAAACACAAGGACAGATTCCATTGATCTCAACTTTAAAATACATTGAATCAAAAATGTGAAAAACAGCATTATAAAACAATACAAAATAGCTAAATACACAACAGAGGTATTAAATAATTTTTAAGTACTCAACAAGCAATTGAATAACAAACACCCAATTATCAATATGCCATTCTTGGTATAGAAATATCACTAACATATGACCCATTGAATAAATAAATAGATAAATAATACTCTTTGATCATTTAGATCTATAATGCTAGGCTATAAGCAAAAGGTAACTAAATTGATAGGTAATAATTTAAAACTAAGATGAAATACAAAAGTGATTATGAATTTTATTTGTCTTACTCAAATTCATCAGCTATAATAAATTAATATAAATGTACAGCATTTGTCATAATTATTTAATGTAACAAAGTTGTATTATTACACTATGAATAGAAATTACATATGATGATTATTATTCTGTTTCTCTTTAAATACTCATTTTAAATGAAGATTTAGAACTATATTTCAACATAAATATTAGATGATTTATAATCTAAAAAAAAAAAAAACAAAAAGCTTAGAATAAAAATAAAAAAAATAAAAACATACTTTGAAATCAAAATTCATTAATACATTTACATAAATAATGAATTTAAACTATAGTGTAATGACATTCAACCTAAATATAAGAGGCATATCAATTCATAAAAAACTTTAATTCACTTTTTTTTTCTAAACTTTATAATATATATCTTTTTTTATGTTTCAGTTATGATTTATTACTTTTATTTATCGCATATTTATGACTGAGACCACCAATCTTGAGTTGAAGAATTTCCATTAGAAGCAGAACCACCACTTGAGTATGATCCTCCATAATTACCACCACCATAAAACCCACCTACTATAAAGTAAAACAAAAATTAATTAGATATTTTATATTATACATTACAAAGTATAAGCAAAATTAAGTTTAGTAAATAAATAATACAAATTAATTTAATTACCATTATTACTGCCACCTCCATAGTCTCTACGTGGTGGACCAGAACTTCCACGTGGCGGTATGCTGCTTGTAGTACGATAATCTCGGGATCCAAAACCGGAACCACCAAAACGACTTCTGTAATGTTCAAATTATAAATAAAATAATTTTAATAATTTTTTTGATTATAAATAATTTTAATTATTACAACAATTTTTAAACATACCCTCCTTTTGATGTATTACTTCTTCTTCCACTACTCATTCTGAAGTCAGTAGCCATACTCTCCAACCATCCAGGTAATTCTTGCTTTGATTCAGTTATCAATTCCATTAGGTCTCTAGTTAAATTGCGATTTTTGTCATTGAAAAACGAAGTAGCCAAACCTTTAAAAATTATAACCATTAGATAACATAGTTACCATCACTTAAATTAATTAGTTCTAAAATTTACCTAAATTTCCCATACGGCCAGTACGTCCAATACGATGCACATACTCCTCGACATCTGATGGTAAATCATAATTAATTACGTGTGTCACATGAGGTATATCTAAGCCTCTAGCTGCAACAGCTGTAGCAACTAAAACAGGTGTGTTCCCAGATCGGAAACTTTTTAAAGCGTCCTCACGTTCTCGCTGTGTTCGATCACCATGAATTGAAGTTACTGGATAACCGTTGGAATATAAAAATTCTTCCAATGAATCGGCGCCTTTTTTAGTTTCAACAAACACCAATATCAAAGATTCAGCTGGTTCTGTAATTAAGAGTAAAGAGTATTATAAAAATGGAAATAATCATATTTAAATTTACTAACGTGATCTAATTGGAGTAGCATTTAGTAAATCTAATAAATAGGATCTTTTGTTTCGGTCTTCCACCCAAACAATTTTTTGTGTTATATTTTCAGATGTTGATCCAACTCGACCAATAGCTAAGAAAATATAGTTGTCAAGAAAATCTCTAGCCAACATCTGTGAGAATATTGAAAAAATGTTTAAGTAAAAAACACACATATAATCTAAAATTGAATTATTCCATTTACTTGAATTTCTTTAGGGAATGTTGCTGAGAACATCAGAGTTTGTCTGTCACCTGGAGGAGGCATAGAATCCTTTTCAACAATACGTCTTATTTGAGTTTCAAAACCCATATCTAACATTCTATCAGCTTCATCTAAAACTAAGTATCGACAGAAGTCTAACCCAATTTTACCTCTCTCCAACATATCTACTAAGCGACCAGGGGTAGCCACTAATAAGTGACACCCCTGTTCTAAATCACGGATTTGATCCATAACATGTGAACCTCCATAGCTGTAATGATCAGAATTAATTTATATTTAATAAATAATTTTTAAATGTATAATTATACTTACACAACACAAGGACGCACTCTAGAACGATAAGCAAACTTCTTTGCTTCATCATATATTTGGGTAGCTAATTCACGAGTAGGAGCTAATATTAAACCAAGAGGATATCTACGCCTTGACTGAAGCTGTTAAACATTTATTTAAAGAAAATATTAAAATAATTCTAAAAGGATTATGAATTATTATCAAACCTTAGGTCCCATACTGTATGCAGCTGGCCCTTTTTCATAAATCTGATTAAGTATGGGAACCAGGAATGCTGCAGTTTTGCCTGACCCAGTTTGGGCACAGGCCATAACATCACGACGACCAATAATAATTGGTATAGCGTATTTTTGAACTGGAGTTGGAGTATCATAACGAGTCAAAGCAATATTCATGCGTATAATATCTGTCAGCTTAATGTCGTCAAACTACAAATAAAATATGAAAAAAAAGTTAATGTTAAAATCTGATACAAATGATATTCTATTTCTGAAGTTAATTATATTAAGCTTACTGTATTAATATGGGATGGTATATCTTCGCCAGTTGCTTCAACCGGAATATCTTCATATTTATTGAAGTTAATACCCGTACTACGATTTCCAAACAGTTCTTCCTCCAAACGCTCATCAGGGGGGAGAGGTTTTGTCCAATCTTGGTTAGCACTTGATTCATCCCAACGACCTCTTCGATTTTCTCCAGATCTACAATTGTTATTGCTGTTAAGGATTTTTGAGAATATAATAACAAATAAATATAATGTATATATACCTTCTTCCACCACCTTCTTGCCACCTGCTACCACCTCCACCTCCTTGATTGAAACGCGACCAATCGCCGCCATCTCTATCATTGCGGTAATTGCCTCTATAACCACCTCCGCCTCGTCCGCCACTATAGCCGGAACTCGATCCATTGTAGGAACGATCTTCATAATCATCTCTACGGCCACCACGTCGATCGTTTCCTACAAAATTGTTATTTTTAATAGTTGAAATTCAACATTTCTTTGAAAAATATCTTAAGTTTGTAAATTAAAAAAAAAAAAAACCTGATGTTTGGCGTGGTGCGTTAAAATCTCTGTCACTATTAACACTTGCTGTAAAATAACAAAAATAAAATAATTGATAATGTGATAAAATTAAAATAAAGGGGAAATAAAACATGATATTTCTAAAATTATGTTTATAATCTTAAAAACACAATTTTAAGAAAAGCAAGTTTATTTAATATTTAAATTCCAGGAAAGTAATTAATTATTGTATTTATGTAATTCAATGAGATATGGAAAACTAGAAGTACCCAACTATATTTGAGTTATAAATATTATGTTTTTGATAAAGTTGCTTGCTTTATCTAAAAAAAAAAAAAAACATAGCTCTAAATAAAATTTAAAATAGTATGTTGAGTACAGTAAATAAAATATGTAATAAAAATTTTAATAAAAAAAATATTTTTAGAGTAAAAAATAATTTAATTAAAGTAGAGCGTCAATTATTCGAACTACAAAATTTTTGTATAATTTTATTTTTAGTACATTTAAATTTAATCAATGGATATGGTTGTTAGATTGTGTACATATTAAATTAAGAAATGCGAGATTATTTCTATTACGATTCACTTTAATTTGCAAAAAAAAAAATTGATCATGATTTAAAATAAATACACTATATATTTTTTATACTATGTATGAATATTATATTTTTAATCATTATTTGATTATCTGCACAAATAAATTCACCCCCTTCTCAGTCAACATTTAGATAGCAATATTAATGAATATTGGTTATGTCATTTTCTGTTTTATTTAAAAATAATTTAGGGATAACAAGAATGTCACTATTCCAACTACTTATATAGTATCGTATTTTGATTAAAGTTTCGCTTTATTGCCATTTAGTATGCTATTATCATTCATCAAAGTTATTAACTACAAACAATGTAAATGTTGGTAGAAACTAAAACTAGAAAATGTCTAAATTGTTTTAATTTATTAATATTTACCAGCTGAGGATATACACTGAATCATTTCTTTTAAATGTAAAATAAGAATTGAGTAATTTATAAATTATTACTTAACTTCTTAAAGAATGAAAGTTTTAGTTTTATACAGCTGAAACGTATGCCTAAGGTTATAAGTTATAGCAGATGTCTAAAATCAAATAAAAAATTACACCTTTTTAATCATCCACAACTTCTGTTGTTTTATTTATTATAAGTATAACTTTTAATTAATAAAAGAAAATCTTTAAAATAGGATTTTTTGACTTAATAACTATAGAATTAATTTTTATAGATTAATAAATTAATAACCTTTTATTTTTCAAATGTAAAACAGGTTTTTAATTTTTAAAATTTTGAAAAAAAACTTTTATGTACACAATCTAAAAAATGTAATTGACTTCAAAACGTAGTATATCTATTAATTAAGTTGTTTTTATTCAATTTAAAAGTTTATGTTAATTTATGTCATTTTCCTATAATCTTTTTAAAGTTAATATTAACTGATTACATAAAAAATATTATTATTTCTTTGATTAAAAACAATTGAATAAAAAACATAGATAGGAAAACAACTCAGATACCATTTTTATGATATATGAAGATTAATTTCTACACATATACATACTTATAAATCCATAAATTTATAATTGTATACAAAAATGAAAATATGAACAATAATGTTTTTAGTTAAGATAAATTATTGAATAATTATAAAATAAATAATAAGTTATACAATCACAGAAGTAAATGTTTTTGAATAGATTTATTTACACTTAATTTATGAAGTTAATATTCATAATACCAACAATTCCTGTTTATTTTTTACAATGCTTTCTTTCCTCAGTCACATACTCAACCCTCCTTTTAATAATCTTTAAAAAAATGGTGACTTTGTAAATATGTTAACAAGGATTTTGATTTTTTTTTTTCATATTTTTTTATTAACTTATTGTTATTTTCCTTATTATGAAATAGTTTTTTTATTATTCTATGTTATGTTCTAATATTCTTATTTTATTTAACATGTTGCTTAGTTATAAGTTATAAAAATCTAATACTGCATTTTATCTTATAATTGAATCTAAGTCTGTAATGAATAAATAAATTTAACATACCTACTATGCACAAATTTCTATACTTTAATCTAGTAATAATTAATATTCATACAAAATATTAAAAAATACATTAATAAAATGCTATTATTTTAATTTTAAATTATTTTGTTTGATGGGGAACGAGGTGAATATTCAAAATATACGGAAAAACACTCAGATACCATCATTATAATTAATATTGGAAGTTTAATTTATACATAAATAAATACATATAAAAGTGATTTGTTCATGAATGAATAATTTCAAAAATGAAAATACTAACTTCCATATTCTTTTAGTCATGATAACAATAACTAATAAGCTTAACATATTCTAAAAAGGTACTAATATGAAAACTTTAATTGTTTTACTATCATATTGTGTAAATGATAATATTAATTTCTGAAGATTTTAGTCGATTTTAATCTCATGGACTATTATTTTTAAATTTAAACCTTGTTTAAAATTATTTTATTACAAAACATTTTTCATGACTTTAAATAATTAAAGTTTTTGAATTATTGAGACAACTATATTTAAATTTTAATAAAAAGAAAATAAATATTGTAAAATTAAAAACATATGAAAACTACACTAATGAACAGTAGATACCTATCTATAATCAAATTTCTATTAAATTAGTAGTTTTAATTAAATTTTAATATCTATGCTAGTTTAATACATATAGTCATGAGATCCTACAACATTGTTCAATTTTAAACTAAAAAATATAATTACTTTGTTTTAATGATGAATTTGTATAAGACTAAATGGAAATTAATATTTGTTAGTAATTAAACAGGCAATAACATAGTTGTTTAATTGTATTTGATTGAAATATGCAGTTGTTAAGATAAAAATCAAATCACATTTTTAATTATTAAAATGTTTATTTTATTATAACAAAGAATAGAACAAAGAACAATGATGCATTGTTGTAAGTGTTGATGAATTAATGTCTAAAAATGAAATATTTTTATTAATCTATTATGTATTTAATAAATATAAATTACCTAATTCTACTGCTTCAGAATTATCCGGTCTGTTCCTCAGATGAGGGGGAACGTACTTGCTTGGAGCCGAACTGGGCTGTGATTTGCCCTGCAAGTCCAGACCAGCAAACTGAAAGAATAAATAAAAAAAACCATAAAAATCATCATACGTATTTAAATTATTTAATGATAATCAGTAAACGCAAATTAGTAGTATTATTCTATGACAGCGGTAACTTAGACAATGAAAATTCGCACTTCTCTTAACCTAGTTGATGAACATTGAAGCAGATAAATACATTTCTTACCTGCTGCTCTAGACCTGATCCATTTTGATTGGGTACATTACTCATATTATTACAAATCGGCGACGATGAATACGCTGCTGCACTTGCGAGTGTAAATCAACAAAACGAACGCACAAAAATTAAATCGCTGTAATGAAAAATGTATTATGGCAAATGCCAATAATGGCCGACTAGATTGAAAGGAGACAGACAGCTGATAACCTTGAATGCGAAGATACCATTCCACTGGTTGTAACCAAAATACATTTGCTATTATTTGGAAGTCCGTATGTATTTTAATTATTTTTTTTATTTAGATTAGTTGCTTGATTAAAGATTTAAATTTTAAATGGTTAAAATTTAGGTTTTCATGTAAATAGTTTTAAATTCGATAGCTTTTTCTAAACGGTCAACAGTTGGCTATACTGTGTTCTTATGGTATGCATCACGTCCGTGTGCGTCCGCACTGATTACAATGTTTTTTTGATTTTACATTTCACGAGTCTTTCCTACGTGAATCACTTTGTCGAGTACTTCATTTTTTGAAATCGTAAGTACAATTTTTATCCTTAATTATCTGCTCAATCCCAATTTGACAGACATATACCCGTCTTAGGTTTCAATTTTATTTTGTATGGCGATTAAAATATATGGATGTCTCCAACGTTTAGACTCATCGACCGGTGTTCAAATCTGATGTGAAGTTGTACCTTCCCAGATTTTTTTAGCGTTTATTAAGTGTCGTGGTTTAGTTTCAATTAATTGCGAGTTTCTGACAAATTAAAATTTTCTATTTTGTCGTTTTACCTAAGCCGGCTGTCTGGATTGTGGATTCTACTCTAAATTTGCTGACAATAGTATTTTGTTACGTTTATGTTCTAGATATCATAATGGGTAGGGTTATTCGTGCTCAGAGGAAAGGTGCGGGAAGTGTTTTCCGTTCCCACACTAAACACCGCAAAGGAGCCCCAAAACTCAGGAACTTGGACTATTCTGAAAAATATGGTTACATCAAAGGAGTCGTTAAGGTAATTAGTATTAAACTTATTTTTTTTTTAAATGTAAAATGCAATTTTAAATATTTATGAAGTTTTGTTGTTTTTTCAAAGATACTTAAATTACAAATTTATAATTTATTTATATTCATGCTACGTAACATCAAATTTTAGAACTAAAATTTAATATTCATTCTATTTTCTTGAACTATAATAATATATTTTCGTTTCATAGAATTGTATTGTGTTAAAAATCAGTATTTGGTATATCTTAATCTTTATTTGAATTGTGTGGTTTTAATTAATATCAAAGTGAAACGTTTAATTTATGATTTTTGTGTTGCAGGACATTATTCACGATCCTGGTCGTGGAGCTCCTTTAGCTGTTGTTCACTTTAGAGACCCTTACAAATATAAGACAAGAAAAGAATTATTCATTGCACCTGAAGGTGTATATACAGGTCAATTTTTGTACTGTGGAAAGAAAGCTATTATATTTTAAATATAAATAAACAACATAATTTTTATTTCTTTAACATTCTTTAATTTTTTTTTTTTTTTTTGTTATTTTTAGCTAAATTGAACATTGGTAATGTTATGCCTATTGGAGTAATGCCTGAAGGTACCATTATCTGTAATTTGGAAGAAAAAACTGGTGACCGTGGTCGTTTAGCTCGTGCTTCTGGTAATTATGCTACTGTTGTTGCCCACAATCCAGACTCCAAAAGGACGAGGGTGAAGTTACCATCTGGTGCAAAAAAAGTTATTCCATCCAACAACCGTGCTATGATTGGTATGTATTATTACTGAGTTTATTCAATTAACAATACATTTTTATTGACATATCTAATTAGGTTTAAGTAATTACATTAATACTACAATTTCTTCAATTATATATTACTACAACCTCAATGTGTTATTGTTTTAACTACATTGTATAATCTGTACATATAAAGAATTTATTGCTTATTAAACTCTTGCCAATAAAAATTGTCTTATGTGTTCAAGTAATAATTTTAGCAATTAAGAGTGGTTATAGTATTCAAGCTTTTTTGCTTGCGTAGTTCATTTTATTAGATTTTGTACAGGATTTTATGTATATAATAGCATTTTTTGTCAAAGTATTTTATAATCTATGATGTCTTAGACATTTGAAACCTGACAATATTCAGTGAAGTCAACATTATTTACTGAGATTATTTTGTTATAATATTATTAAAATAAACTGATTTGAATCTATGATGTTGAAATTAATAGACATTTGAAACCTGATTTTCTTTAAGTGAAGTGTAACATAATAACTGAGATTCAAACTTAATGATTTATTTGGATGCTACAATTTACTCATTTAATTTATAATGTATTAAGCTAATAGTACCTTTTAATATTTATAATATTATTTATATTTTATAGGTTTGGTTTCTGGTGGTGGACGTATTGACAAACCTATGTTGAAGGCTGGTCGTGCATACCACAAATATAAGGCTAAGCGTAATTGCTGGCCTAAAGTACGTGGTGTTGCTATGAACCCTGTTGAACATCCTCACGGAGGTGGTAATCATCAACATATTGGTAAAGCATCCACAGTCAAGAGAGGAACCAGTGCCGGAAGAAAGGTAAATAATATAATTATTTTTTTTTTTTATATACTATAATTACTGATTATTTTCTAACTAAATTTTAGGTTGGTCTCATTGCCGCCAGGAGAACTGGTAGAATTCGAGGAGGTAAAGTGGTCACCAAGAAAGGTGATGATTAATCTGTACATTGTCGTGTTTGTATTAAATTTTACAAATAAAAAAAAACAAAACCAACATATTGATTTATTGAGTTCTTTTTATATTGTAAAATTATTTATCATTTTATTGGTAACTTTATTTTGTCGATAACAGATATTTGAATTCCTTGATAACAAAAGATGAATCTTTTATCACAGCGTTTCTCAAACTGTGGGTTGCGAACAATTTTTTAAATTATACTGATTCCAAGAAATTTATGTTAAATTAAAATTAAATTTATTATTATTAATAAAAGTACATTTGTAAAAATATATTAATTTTAAACTTATACAATAATCAAAATAATAATTTAAAATCTAATAAACAAATTTTGTTAAAAAAAAAATCAAAATATGTTATATTATAATATTTTAAATTAAACTTTTTTTTATTTAACTAATTTTTGAAAAGTGAAACCATATGGGTCACTAAAGATTTTTTGAGGAAAATTTGGGTTTCGGTACTTAAAAGATTGAGAACTGCTGCTTTATCATATAAAAAAATCATTTTTTATTTATATTAATAAGTAAATTATTGAATTTGAATAGTTTCACTGATGTTGATGAAAAAAAAAATGGGTATACATTATTTCTCTAGAATATATTTAAATCACGTCATGTTTTTAAACTTATTTTTAGTAAGAGTACATATTATATTTAAATGTATATACAGTCATAATTGATAGTAGTACTGTTAAATAAGCAAATCATAATATTAGCTAGGTACATAATCAATAGTTTAATTATTGCAAGAGTATGTTATAACTTATAAGTAATAAGTATAAAAAATGATTAGTTGATTAACAACAAGATGTATATACGCGTTAATGTGGCATTTTGCAGAGTTAGCAAATTGTGTGTGTCTGAATTGCCATAAATCTATTTTAAGTCGCGAGTATGTATATTTGCATTGGTACCTGCCGAGGTAGTTGTTATATTTTGGCTTGGTAAAGCTTAGCCTTTCTATCTCCCAGCGTGACTATCTGTTGTAGTTTATTCAAAATTAATGAATAATGCAGTTAAAATTTGAATTCATTACCATCTGAAGAATGCATAGAATTGTTGGACGGTTTTGAATGCTTTCATTATTCGTTTACCCATAAAAAGATATCTTGATTGACTAATAATGCAGGTAGATATATCCAAAACTAATGGAATTAATGTTCACAGTAAATTCATGGTTTTATATATGTAAGGCTCAAGGCACTAATAAGTGTTATCTTTTTACAATTAGCATTTTAAAGAAGGTCTCACAGGAATTGTATCTCGTCAAACGGAAAACGAATGTATGTGTATTTATTATATGTACCTATAAATGATTTGTCATTTGTTATGAAAAATAAAATAACTAGTTATTATGATTGAATAAAATTAATGATCATACAGGTAAATTAACATGTTTATAATTATAATATTTAAAAAAAATAAATACTCATAGGTATATTATATTAGAAGAGGTCAACGATAATATAGATCACCAAATTTGATGTGATATGTTGTGATAAATGATAATAAATAATTTATAGGTAACTAGAAAAATATATAATAATTGACAATTTGAATGATTAAATAGTTGGTAGCTTCCTATCACTTCCAATGCCGCAACTACTGGATGTGTATGTGCAAGTACCGAACAAGGACCCACACCTTCCATAATTTAAAAATTAAAGGATCTCCTTTGTTTATTAAATTTTATATTTTTTTAGCTCACTTTAAGTTACCTACTATAATTTACTGTTTATTAATCGGAGAAAGGAATATTAATATTCATTATAGTAGGTAGATTTTGACAGTATAGTTAACACTTTGACAGCTGAATTTTTCTAAGAAGCAGAATATTATTCAAATAGTTATACATTTGAACATTTCTAACCACAAACCACGATTAATTTCAATCACATGGTTAGTGTTACTGCTTATCCATTGATCTATAAAGTAGGTATGGATTTTTCATTATTATTAAATTTAATAGTTGGTAGGTACCTATTATCATATTGTGTTCATTGAAAAAACTAAAACAACACCTAACCTAACAGATTTCATTTGTAATTATTAATAGATATTACGGCACACAAACTTTAAATTAAAATATCATTTTTAAAAAGAAATGTGATTTTATTTTTATTAATCTTATAATTTTTAATAGTTTTTTAATATCTAGAAAAATTGTAAAAAACCAAATATTTGTTTTGTTAATAATTTCCCCACTGCGGGTAACGGGTAAATCCTTACGGAACATTCCTTTACAAAATATTTTAATTAGCTTTTATTTATTTAGTGAAATTATTGAAGTATAAACGTGATAACAAATATATTTTCATAGTTATGATTGTTAGAATTTAGGGATTTCAGCTAAGGAATTAAAGATTCTTAGAGTTTAAGATAACTTTAACAAATGTGTGTTTACTTTATTTTTGAATAAAAAAAATAGAAGTCATTTTTTAAAAATATTTTGACCAGTATCAGAATTTAAACGATATATAGTTAAGAAGTTAGTTTATAAATTATAATGACTAGGTGGTAGTTGGCTAAAGATATCGGCTATACTCTTACACACGGGCCTCCAAATGTTGCGGTTCCGTCTCTTTTTTATCCATGTATGGCATGTAAGGGTACTGCACGTAGTATTATAAGGTAATCTATTGATTATAGTCTCTTATGGCTTATGGCCGCATAGGCGCACATAGGGGGGGTGCTATATACTTTTTTTACCCATGCTTTTATGTTTCCTGTAAAATTTATTTCAGTATTTTATCAATAATTTGAAAAGTATTGTGATTCATTGGGTTGGAATTTTTTCCCATTACAAATAGACAATATGTAGCTTATGAATTCACGATTAATAATGTATTGATTGTATTGTATGAATGCACGTTCCACTGTTCCAGTTTTCGTCTAAACGTTGAACATTAACAGCAATCATATAATAAAAATTGCATTATCTAACAGAAAATTAAATCTTGTTTAAAATTAATTAGTGATTAGATATTATTATTATTATTATATATATAATATAAATACATTTTAATATTAATTATAGTAATTAAAAATTATTAGAATGCAGTTTATTATGGTATTAGGGGGGTGTGGGGCAAAGCCCCCCACTGATCTGTTTACTGTAAATTATTCCAGCACCCTCTAAATTCACACCCAATGTGCGCCTATGCTTATGGGTTATTAACTCATTATCATTTTTGTGTTTGAATACGCAAATTTAAACCATAGCAACGGTTTTATACAATATACAATAAACAACTTTAAACTCGGTACACCTATCTATGTAAAATCATAAGTTGTATCAATAACTCTATAAATTATCTTATTAAATAATTGTACTTTTTAGTTGCTCATAAAATAATATTGAGCTAAAATGGATTTCATTGATTTAAAAAAATTAAGCGAAATGCTGAATCCACCAAATGAAAATTCTTCGGACAGTGAAGATGATCTTCCAAAATCATCTTTAGTGCAACTTTGTAAGTACTTATAGTATATTGTAACTACTACCTATATCGGCTATATCTACTTATAATTTTATTTTAAAATTATCAATGGCCCGATGCTTATGTATAATATTATATTTACAACATATGTGTAGATATTCATTGGGAGCTTTTATTTTACACTATGGCTTATAACTTATAACTTAAAATGGATTGCACAAATATGGTAACTTTTTTTAATAGTTAATTTCCCACTTTTTTCATATCTTTATTTTATGGTACTTTAAAAATAGTTTTGGATATGAATGATATAATGTACAGTTCTCAAATAAAATAATAGTTTGGCATATTTATGTTTGAAAAAAAATTGTATGAATTATTTACATCAGAAATATACAAATTAAACTTACACGCTATAATAACTAATAACTAATAGTTGATTATAAAATGGTCCATTGAAAATCATAAATACTCATTTATTTGCGCCAAATAATATAAATTAAAAAAAAATAAAATAAATATATTCTTAATATAATAATAATGCTAATAATTATGATATAGAGTTTTATAAATTTATAATACATTTTGTGTATTTTTTTTTTCAAGAAAATTGGGATTTGAAAAAGTGTAATGTTACATTCATAGTACACCACAAGTTCCTCTGAAAACGCTAGTAATCTCGAGGATTTTGATGAAAACTTTCACGCCTTTTTCCTCAGAAACCCACTATGGGCAATCACACAATCATTTATATCTATAGTCGTGTTTTACACAAATACTTTCATAAAAATGTACGTTAACCCCTGATATCAGCAACATTGATGTATCAGTATAAATATAGGTCCTTATATATCAATTATTTTCAGTATAGTCCAATTTAAAAAAATTAAGGGGATAAGTTATATTCCAAAAGTCGTGACAATGTAATTTTTATACTTATTTTATTAGGTACTATAATCCTAGATTAAACTTTATGCTTGTACTCATATGATTAAGACTTAAGAGTATGTTAAAATTAATAATCTATACTCATTAAGTATTAAACAACAAAATATTTTTCCTTGTATTAATAGGTACTTAGGTAGATATTTAATTTATAAATTAGGAAATAGCTACTTTCAATATTCAATATATAAATATATAATCCCATTACTAACGTTTAATAGTATCTTTTAGGCGGCCCTCACACCGAGCTAATAGACAATGACCAATTATTAACTAAAACTATTCTGCAGACAATACGTATTGTCTTTAGCTCTCGAATAGAAACATGTAACAACACTGTTTTGATTGTAGCTTACAAGCTTAAATAAAAGTTAGCATAATTTAGAAGCAACTATGCCATCATTTGACGAAGATGTTGATAACATTTTCTTATTCAAATGGCATCTTCAAACAAAAATAAAAATAAAACCTAAAAATATTGGATTAAAGCAGTGTTTAATAGCTTGTGAAATATGGTGCAAATGTATACACAGATTAACTTTAGATTCATACAACACAGTTCAAAAAATGTTATAGAATTCGCCCAGATACTTTTCAAAAACTTTTGAATTTAATTGAACTGAGTATTATGAAACAAGATTTCAATTATAGAAAGACTATAAGTAAAAAAAATAAATATATTAATAATATTTAGGTAATGATAAAATATTAATTTTAATGAATTTACACACTATTCACTAAAGGTATGGAAGTAATCTTGTACTGTAGTTGGATTATTATTGATTCATGTGTAATCTTCTAAATGCATATTATCTAACTGGTGTTCCAGGTGGTTCAGGACTCAGTGCTAAATAAGAACTTCCTGAGTTACTGGAAAAAAAGTTGTTGATCATAAGTTGAAAACAAGTGGTCTGTGTAGGCGAATCATTCAAAATTAAATCAATAGTTTCATGTGTTCTTTATTTAAACTGTCTTTTCTGATAATTTTCTATTAAATATATACCAGATTGTAAGTTTTTGAAAAAATCAAGAGTCTATTACTTTTGTTTGTCTGAAAATCTTTTTTTTGAATGGAGTAACCAATGAGGCATATATTATATAAACCTCATCTGTTGATAGTTTTTTTAGGTATTATACGTTTTTTGTAATATTTGTAGTAGTTAATTTAATTTGTGATACAACTAGATGTCTTTTTAGAAAAATTTTTTGGTGTAGATAAAATTTCATGCTGCAAAAAGACTTCTTTATTTATTGATCAATATCTGTAATAGTCCAACTAAAAATAAAGTGTGAGAATATTCATTAGTAAGGCTTGGGATTTAATGCATTTAAAATTTACAAAATATGCATACATTTATGTGTTGATAATAGTATATATATGTTTTAAAAACAAGAATTTATTTATTTTCTGTTCTTAATTTTTACAAATACAAAAATTTTATTAAAAAATATTTTTATGTTTTATAATTTGTACTAAATATTTATTTATAAAAAAAAACGGCACAATATTTTGACACAATATATTGTACTTTCGATTTATAGGTGGCAATTATAAATAGTTATATATAAGGATTTTTTTGAAGAAATATCAATTTTATAATTTTTTTCAGTCATTGAAGTAAAACAGTTTTAAACAACAGTAATTTCAGATTTTAAATTATAGCAATTTGTATCTAATCAATTCTACCTATACAAATTTATGTATAATAATATATAATAAAGTAATTATAAAATATTTATTATTAATATTTCAATATTCAATTTTTATCTAGAGTTAACTATTAAAATTAGAAAGTGTATAGATCGAATTAACCAATTCTATATAATATTTACAATGACAATAATGATATGTTAGTGAATAAAATTAATTTAAATGTGTTAAATTAAAATCAATGCTTAAAAAGTCACTAGTCACTTAAAAATTTTTTGAAAAATGTAATATTTATAATATAATATAATATATATATATACTATATCGTCGTTGTATGTGAAAAATATTATGTGTGGTAAAATTTTTTAACTTAAAATTTATTTTAATTACTTTCAGAAAAAAAGGTCTATAAATTAAAAATATCCTATTTAATAGCGACCAATGAATAATTTACTTTTATCAATGTTCTGCTAAGAAAAATATCTTATACATATTAGATGAAAATTGTACTGTATACCATTATATATTTTTATCGAAATCGGGACGGTGTGACGAGGATTACGACTGTTAAACAAATACTGCGCGTTAATATTTATGATATTATATCTGATGATAAGTTTATAAATTGTACAAATTTAATTTTTAGCGTAAAATATTTATTTTTTGTTATGCATTTTAATTTTTTAATTACTTTTTATAACTTAAATTTTTAAGAGTTATCAAGCTCTTATATAGTTTTCTTTCACAAATAATAATTAAAATGTTTATTTAGCATTGTTATAACTTATAATACCGTAGGTAATTGGAAATATTTTACGGCTATAAAAATTAAATTACGTTCTCATTAAAATAGTAATAGTTACAAGGCAGTAAGTTTGAACTTAGTAGTAATTTGCAATATGTATTATTTTAAATTTGTGAAATTAATAAATCAAATTATATTTTTTATTTTTTATTTTTGTTGTATATAAACCACAGTTTATGATTTAAATAGGTAAGTCAAAAGCAGGAAAAGATATGACAATCTTAACAAACGAATCTATAAAAAAAATCGAGGAAAAAAATCAAAAAAAAATCGAATTAATAGAGTCGGAAGAAGAGAAAGCTAAGAACATTTGGCAAGAGGAAGAGATCGTAGTTGCTCCAGAAGCGATTGATGTCGTTTTAGACACTAGAGTTAGACCTGAATATGATGTCAAGTATCAACAATATGTTGGAACAGAAGATGCGTTTTTACAAGTAAACTAAATTAAAAATATGTTTCGACTTAATAATTTCAGCGGTTTTACACTAGGTCCTAGAAGTAACTATTAATTATTAATTATTTTTTAAGGACAAGAAGCCTATTGTTTTTACTACTAGGTATTTGTTCTAACATACGGTATATCATGATCATTTTTTAATGAACATATAACATCTTTATATTTTTATTCGATCTATATGACGTCATGTATATAATAAATAATAATAATACTATACATATCTATTAAAATATGTAAATACATTTAGTGATTGTAAATAATATAATATGATATATTTATATTATCCTTATCACAGCGTTTTGGTTTTGTTAGGTATCTATTTATTATATTATATTACAATGGAAAAATTAAATATACTATGTTTAATTTTATTAACGTGTTTGTACCCAATGAATTAATTTAATTTATTAATTGGAAGGAGACCATCTCATGAGTTGTGATGCATAATTGAACGCGAAATTAGTTACAACTTCTTTTATCAACTCTATTCTTTAACGTGTAAAAGATATTCTTTGTTTTTCTCTTTCTCTCTATCTTGATATTCTTTCATAAAGATAAAGTTTCTTTTCAATTATCAGTCTTCGTTTCTGTTATTTCTTTAAATATCAAAATATAAAATATATTAATTTATATATTTACAATTATATAACATTTATATTTTAAAATATCTAGATCAATTGTATGTGTATTACAAATCACATTTGAGATTAAGTTTTAATTTCAAAACTGTAGTTAAAATAAAGACAATCATATTCTAAAAATAAATATATATAAAAAAATTACCTTAACTAAATAATGCGTAAATTATATGCAATAAATCAATAGTTTCAGTGTTAATAATATTTTTAGTTTGAAATTCAATTTACACATTTTAATTATATAAATTAATTTACTATGTATAATAATGCGTTATGAATACGAATTATATTTTAAATTACCCATAGTAACAAGTATTTTCATTTGTTAATTTAATAATTTGCTTATTTTATAAAAATCATGTTACATTAAATAAAACATTCTTAATTTTTTTTAGATGGGTCCAAAGACTCCACTGACTTCCAGTTGTGAAGCGATGGTGATTGAAGTGAAAATGCCTGGAGACTGTATGCCAGGAATTTGTACAGATATAACAGACGACGCTGTTGATATTCGCAGTCCTAAATATAGATTGCATGTACCTTTTCCACATAATGTGCACAAACAGATGTCGAAGGCTTTGTGGAATTCCTCAACCAATATTCTTACAGTAACTGTATTCCTAAAACGTGAATATGATGATATCAATTTCTGATATGTAGTGCGAAATATTTACTTCTTATTTATTTATTATCATTAATAAATTTTACGATATTTTTTTCCATTGAAATATTTTGTGTCATCTTGAATTATATTTTTAGTTTTTATGACATTCAATTTTATGCGGTTGTTTAAATTTGTTAATTCATGAATTGTAATATGGTACTTTGATATAATTATATGTATTAGTACTATTGACATCAGTAGTGTTCGATTTCTTTGGAAAGAATCCATTGTGTTCGAATAGTGTTGGCATTAGAAGATTTATGACCCAAGTTGTTCAAGCTACATTATTGTTCATTATATCAATGTGTGCGCCACAAGTGTCTACAATGTCGATTTTCTTTTACTGTATAGTGTTGCGTTGGTTTAAAAGCTATCACCAATTAGTAAAAAATCATCTTATACACGTTTTATACATGAGAATAAAATATATAATTAGGGGGCTTTGGGGGAATTTTTTTTAGATGGTCTTTTTTTTTTTTTATAAGAATAATTGCATTTATATATTTTTTCTTTACGAATTTCGTATAGCTTTGTTAGAAAACTTTTTCTTCTTATTAATCTCGTTATTATGTATCAATCATGCAATAAAGAACTGCTGAAAACTCCGTTTTATGAGGGTTGTAATAAGGTTCCTATGTTCTTTGACGATAAAAATATGTGTTTATTTTTCTTTATTTTACTTATTCAATATTATATAATATGCACAGCACTTGAGATTTATTAGTTTTGGTCGGATTAGGGAGAGGATGGAAAATTTTGAATACATCTTTGTATAAATTAATAGTATAAATCTTACCACTGTAGTTATCAGTGTTATCAGTAATAATGTTATAATCGTCACAGAATATTATGATTATCATTTACTAAATTTTTATGATTCTTTAATTAAATTATATTTAATAATTAGTAATTATTGGTATCATGATTCAATAATAATATGTATTTATAAATGTAATTATATCATGAATATTGTATAGAATATATATAATATAAATGTACGTAATTATTGAAAGTCAAGGTTATCGGTATAAATTACAATTTTATAGGTTATTAGCTTGTTAAGACACTTATTTGAATTTTTAATTTTTCATGAATGATGAAGTATTAAATTATTATATATTGACAAATTAATACGTTTTTTTTTAATAAAATATAACGTAGAAGCTTGTTTATATGTGATCCGTGATTTTCCAGCCATCCTAGATATTATATTTATATATAAATACTTGTGAGTATATAACTTAATATATTACTATTTTTATTTAAATAGGTGGATACAACATGTACAGTTTTAACGTCATCAGTATTATACCGAATCATTTAATTAACGTGATCGTCGTTTAAATTACACCTTTTCAAATTTCCAAACACATCAAGGTGATGTGTAAGCGTCATTGATGTAGAAATATAATATATTTTTGGCTGTTTTTGCTTCAAAAACAATATACTGCATACATAATTTTAATTGTTATTATTATCGACGTGCGTGGTTTTATAGATATTGTGCTGATTTATTTTCGTCGCAGAAGGGTTTACTTAGTTGATTACATAAATGGTTTTTTATACAACCTGGTAAGTTTGATTTTCATCTTCAATACATATAGGTACTTAATACTTTAATTGTAATAAATGGAGAAACTTATTAATTATTGTCATTGTAGTATGAGTTAAATTATTAAACAACAGTTAGAAAAGCGTATTTATAGTTTAAATATATAACTAAATTATATTAGATAGTTATTATTCGAAATAATTTAAAATAATTATTATAATATAACCGTTAATAAACTGTTTGACGATTTCAATAAATCTAAATTTTCATTAGACACCATGATATTTTTATTTTTACATATTCTCAACCAATGGCCTCCCTTATTTATCCAAATCATTACAGCTGAATCTATAGTAACCATAAGTGAAATATTATATGTTTTATTTTGGTATTAGTCTCCTCACTATATCATTCTCCTGTTTCATATCTCTGAATTCCAATTTACTATGTAGCATACGTAAAACTATTTAATATTTTATTTTGTGTTTTGTATGTAATAAAATATTTGAATCCGTGACACTTGACTTAAATATATTTTGCACACGCAACCAATGATTTTTTTGTTTAGCCATTTTTATCATTTTTTGACCATTCATAATAATTTTTTTAATAAATCAGATAAATGAAATTACAATCATACGGCGTCCTGAGTAGGCTATTTCGCTACACCATTGTTATAGGTACACTTATCCAATTTATTCTCATAAAATCATAGTAAAAATAAAGACTAGATTTTGCATAAAGTACTTACCTACTTTATATATATATACTTACTTTTATAAAAAATTACATGCTGTAAATATATTTTCTTCAATAATACTTAAAAAAAAGAAGAAAATTCTTAAATTATATATTTTTATAATTTTATAATTATACATTTTTTAAGTGTTAAAAATTTAAATAGTAAAATAAAATTATTTCTACATCCATAAAAAATACTATAGACATGTATAATTACATTTTCCAGTGTTCTGAAAAATTATTCGTAATAATTCTTGATTAGTGTTCACAATTAAAACGAGTCATATAATACCTAGTAACTTAGTTTTTCATTTATATGTTATCTAACCATTTATAATATAATAATAATATTGTTAAATTTGAATAAATTGATTTTTACATTAATGGATTTATGGACCAGGAAAAAAATATCTATTTTATAGGGATAATATAAATGCAGCATTGTTTAATCATAAGCAGATAAAAAATTTTTTAATTTTTTTATTGAATTGAGTAGGTGCCTAATACAAGTTATACTCATTACTTATAACATAAATAAAAATTACAGTAGGGAAGGCTCGAATTTTCTAAATTATCACATAACACAAGCTACCATGTAATTACTTGTATGTTTTTCATACGAATTTTTTGAAGTTTTATGAATTTTTATTACCTATTAGAAAGAGCTATAAAAATTCCGAAGAAATAAAATCCTAAATACATTACTGGTTTCTACTGATAATGACAAAAAAATAACTTATGAAACTCTTAGGATTACCTGGATAAACTTAAATAAAATTTATTTTAGTGATAAAATTATAAAGCAAATAGTTTTAAGAGTTTTAAGTTTTCTTTAGATGAAACTGTAATTTTTAAACTGTTAGTGATAACCATCTATGATGATAATATGTGGAATATGTGAATGAAATTATGTATTATATAATTTTTGTCATGGGAATTTAAAAAAAAAAAAACATATTAGTTCATGACTAATATTGTGATTGATAATGATATATTGATATGTTGAATTTATTGCACAGGATAAATCTATGTGTTACTGTTATAAACCTTAGTAGAACCTACGAGTAAACGATATTTTTTTATCGATATCGTGTTATAAATTTAATAATAATAATGGATATATTAAGTGTAATATTAGAAAAATTTGAGTATAAAACACTGATCAATGATGGTTTTAAATATTGTACTTCCGTAAATCGTTCATGTTATTATTGCACATAGACAATATCAGAAAATTATTTTAAAACTAATATCTTTATAAATTAAAATAAATAAATAAAAATAATATGTATAATACACACATATATTAAATACATTTTGTGTTTTAAACTGACTATTATGATTATTACTACCTATATAATTTACTCGAAAAAAGATTCTAAAGTTAACCGTTCTCCACTTTTATTTCTAACAATATATTATAATTTATTTCTAGAAGTAAAACCATCTAAAGTATATTAAAATAATTCACATATACCTGATATGATTATTATTGATTTATAAGTTAAATATACAATTATACCATGTACCGTAGAAAAAATTAAGTAATGTACCTAGATAGTTACGTATATGTTTATTTTTGATCCTCTAAATTACTAGTTTGTTCTTATTACAATTTCAGAAACCACACACTAAGTTGAAGGTTGAAGTTTTTCCTCTTTTTTATATTAGGCGAAGTTAAAAAGAAACATTACATTTTTAAATCAATACATTTTTTGTTCCCTTCAAAATATAAAATTAGAACCTGAAATAAATGAGCGTCTTATAGCTTTGAATTGAAGAATACTAAAATACATGGGTACTATTTTGAATGTGGATAAAAGTAAAAAAGATAGACTGAAATTATGTTAGATTTAAATCGTCATCTATTATATTATACGTTTCGCTAATTTTGTGAAATATAAAATATGTTTTGTTGTTGTGGTCTGAATTAATAATAAAATTAAATATTGTCTTACCTAATATTTTATATCAACTAGTCATATAAAATATTAGATACATATTAAGTTGGTGCATTTACAACAATATAATATATATTGGTTATTAATATTACCTGTAAATATTATTGTTAAACAAATTATTATTCTATAAGTATCCCATAGTTTTGATTATAACTTAAGACATCACTTTATACAAAAATTTTGTTTTTATGTTTAAATATAAATATTTTGAAATGAATTATAAAAAAATTTTTTGGTGATGAATATATAATAATATATTATGAGTTATGACACAATACATGATTTACGATAAAATTGTTTCTAAATGAAAAAAATAATTGTTGAAAGACGATTTTTATTCTGCATTTTTTCGCATTATATATTATAATATGAAACATGTATAAACATATTCATATTATGATAGTTGATGTAAATATTTGAAAAGAAATTTAAAACAGTACATTCGATTTTTTTTTATGTTGGCATTATTGTCTTTTAGGGCGCTTTACAGCTCTTAAAAGAAAATACATTAAAAATTAAAAAAACCAATGTTTTTATTTATTGTATAAATAATAAGATAATTTTGAAAAATATTGAGATAGGATCAAAGTGGTTTTCACTTATATTATAAAATTATTTTTATATTAGTTTGTTCAACAGATATTAAATAGTTTTATTAAAAATCCATTAAAAAAATATTTCAAGCATACTATTCCTATTATTGTGTATATTTATTACGCTACATTATATATTCATAGTTTTAGGTTATGATTAAAAAGATGCTGG